TGTGTAAAAGAAAGAATATGTACTGCAGTCAAGAGAAGTGCAATCACTGGGAGGGGCATGCCTTCAAAGAAGGTCTTGAAGACGATTCCTTCATCACATTGGTTCTTGAACCTAGTGTTTAAAGGATCAGTCCATAGGACCACAAAAAACCAGTGGACCAAACTGAACTGGACCATGGTCTGGTCTTTTTTTCGGTTGCAGTTGCCCCAATTTGGGGTTGGTCCAGTTGCCGGTTGCCTCATTTCAAAAATCTTTTAAAACTGTTCAAAGACCAGTTTTGATCGGTTGCAACCAGTCAAACAGACATGTGCGTTACATAGCCTTGTAACCACATTTATTACCTTTTATTGGGTTTTTGTTTCATCAAAAACGATATAACCAAATCCATATTTTACCTGAGTCTCTATGAGATGTAATTCGGTTTCAGTCATAGCTATGTCAAATCTTCATTAAATCTCTTATAAATTGGTGGAATGACAGGTATTTACATGCTTTACTATTTTATATAACCCGTTTATTTTTCAGAGTAATAATAGTCAAGATACAAATGGTTTATATTGGTATAATAAATTATACGCAAAAAACCGGTCTGGATCGGTCTGAACCGGCTCCATAGACTGCAAAAGACTGGTCCTAGGTGGTTCGATTCGGTTCCATCAGTATCTGGGTTGGTCCTAGACCGGTTGCGGTCCACAGTTGCGCATTTTGGGGGCAAAAAACCAGACTGAACTGAACTTGCAAACACTACTTGAACCACATGCCATTGACAGCTTTTTGAATGATCGGGTGCTGGTACATCCCCTTGTGATGACTCTCAGGATCATTAAGGTCTTTGAGTTCCTAAAACAGAAATAGTGTAAAAAGGTGCAGGAAGTAGTGAGCAGATTCATTACCTTGTAAATAAAGCCCTTTTCATGTTTGAGGCGTTCAGCCTTATCATGGTTTTTTTTTATCACTGATCTGCCACAACCTGAGTTGAACCCATAAAGAACATCCACCAAGGTCTGGGTCTTAGCCTTGGCCTCGCCGTAGGCTTGAGACCCACAAGCCTTGATCTAAAAAGTAGAATTAGGAATCCATTGATGAAGAGAATATCAAGAGACTGACAATTTTTGCAATGTCCGCATCGAGAACCAAGGGCTCCATGCCTGAGTCATTGTTGGCAAGTTTCCAGGCTTGACGGATAAACCATACTTTGGTGGCGGCATTGGGGAAAGCATTCTCTGTAAAAAGAAACACTCAATAGTAACTTGCTGCACCGAGGATAGTGTCCTGGGTGGAGCTGTCATAGTCACCAGCTTTGGGTCGTGAATTGTCGTTATTGAGTTTGAGTACATGGACAGCTGCAGGAGTGTGATCATGGTGATGATCAGCTTCCTCGTCCTTACCATCTTCATCACTATCATCATCAAGCAAGCAAGTACACTTTTCGCCAGACTGCGGGGAACCTGAGCGCAGTCCAGGTATGGCTGTATTGGTGCGTGGGACAGAGTGGGAGTGAGAGCGTGAGGGGGAACCCAAGCATGAGTGTGAGGGGGAACCCGAGCGTGAGCGTGACTGGGAGCATGAGGGTGTCTGGGAGCACAAGGGAGATTGGATGCAAGAAGGCTGTGGTTGTTGTTGAGTGGATTGGCCATGTGAAGTTGTTGCCAGAACTAAACCAGGGGTTGGTGGAATCCTGCTTGCCCGGGCAGCAAGTTCTGCAGGTTTTGATGCTACAGTACAAGACATGAACTGAAAAAATGTTAGGTAAGATGTCATGGAAGAAGTTGTTGTGATTTTACCATGGCATCTGGCTGCTCCTCGAGCTCATCGTCACTAGCATGATGCTCCCCAGCCTCCTTAGTGTCTTTATGTGCCTTCTTCAGGGCAGTTAGTAGGAATCACCCACCAACACTGAGAGGCCCGACAATACAAACAGGCCATAGTTGATGGTGCCTGCTGATGGGCCGATGAGGGCCAATAACCCTGTGTTGATGAATTGGCCGATGTGATCCCACTATCAAGGTAAAGAAGGGTCGGCCAGCTACGTAGATTTAGCATACACCGATCAGTAGGAAGCTGCCCCGGGAAGTCAAGTCCCTGTATTTGTATATCGGCTGATAGCTAAGCTATGCAAGGTCAGCTGACAGTTTTGAACATTGTATTTGTATATCGGCTGATGGAAGATAGTTAAGCTATGCAAGGTCGGCTGACAGTTTTGAACATTGTATTTGTATATCGGCTGATGGAAGATGCAAGGTTGGCTGACAGTTGTGAACGTTGCTGGGTTGGTGATCGGCCGAGGGCCTTCACTTCTGATTAGCAGCTAGGCTATGCAAGGTCGGCAGACATTTTGAATTCGCCTGGGTTGGTGGTCGGCCGAGGGCCCTCAACTCTGGTTACCAGGGTCAGCTGGCGAGACCCACGGTAGTCATGGTTCATCGATATCACCGAGTCGGCCGGACACGAGAATTTATGAACATCTCATCAGCCGATGCATCACCGAGGCCGGCATTTTCAAGCCGAATCGTTTTCAGCTTGGCCTTTAATTTAGCAGCCAAGCAGAGGCAGACCAGGCAGAACTTGCAGTTCAAATTTTCATGATCCGAGACAACATCGGTCAAACCAGCATTGATTAGTAAATTTTAACAAGAGTTGCGATAGGTGTAACTGACTTGTGGGATTCGAACCCAGGGCATACATACACAACGTACCCTCCCAGCGTAACCACGAAGCCAAGCCAACGTTGGAAGACGATCGCGGCCAGTATCTTTTACCTGCCTGCAATTTGAACCCGGGCGTCCAAGCTCGGCACTTTGTAAGTCACCCGTTCTCGGCATAAGACAACTAAGACAACTACCCGTTCTTGGGACTTTGGATGTTACAAGCCTTGGATTAGTAAATTTTAGCCAGCGTTACAAAAAGGCCGTCTTCGCTCTATGTGACTTCTGGGATTTGAACCCAGGGCATACCTCCCAGCTCAACCACTAAGCCAAGTCAGCACTGCAAGAGGAAGTTGGTCAGTATCTTTTAGCTGACGACCATGTCACTCTAATATAGTAGTAAGTAAAAAACTGTTTAGGATGAACAGCATGACTTGTTAGGGATTTGAACCCAGGGCATACATAGATACAATGCGTACACCTCCCACCTTGACCACTGAGCCAAGTCAATGATCCACCTGGCCTGAAAGCTCGGCACTTTGTAACTTACCCAGTGTAAGACAACTAACCTGGGTCTGCAAGCTCGGTAAGAATTGATTAGTAAATTTTAGCCAGAGTTACAAAAACGAAAGAGTTGCGATTGTTGTAAGTGACTTCTGGGATTCGAACCCAGGCATACATACACTCTGTACACCTCCAGCTTAACCACTAAGCCAAGCCAACAGTGGAAGACAATGTTGGTCGGTATCTTTTAACTGCTGACCATGTCATTCTAATAGCAGCAAGTAAAAAATTTGTTTAGGATTTAAACCGGCATACATAGGTCGGTCAGTATCTTTTACCTGCAGTAAGTAAAAAACTTTTCAAAACGCGAATCTATGACTTGTTCGGGATTTGAACCCAGGGCATACATACATATACTACGTACACCTCCCAGCTTAACTACTAGGCCAAGCCAACGTTGAAGACAATGTCGGTCAGTATCTTTTACCTGCCGACCATGTCACTCTAATAGCAGCAGTTAAAAGGACAAATTCTGCGCAGTGACTTGTTCGGGGGGTGAACCCGGTGTATAAGACAACCCGGTGCCTGGCCAAGTCTGGCAAAAAAATGTAACTTAGCTGACGACCATGTCGAATACTTGTTCGGGTGCGATTGAACCCGGTCCTATAAACTCAGCACTGACTTGTTCGGCATTTAAACTACAGTTCAAGCTGGGCCCGGACATGAGACCAATTGGAGTACGAAATCAAGAATTCACCCCTTATCCCAGATTTACCAACAATCTTTGGAAGCCAGCATGGTCTAATGGTAGTTGGCTTCTGGGTTCAATCCCCGGCCATGCTTATGTTTATGACTCTTTCAACTCTTTTTTGCAATTTGGCCTCGAGGCCTGTGCCGCCATCATTTATGCTTCTGATATAGGGTTGCATCGAGGGTTGTAATTTAACCTGAAAACATCCGTGTTTCCCCCTTTAAAAACCCTCTCGCATTTCAAGGACCCATCTTCACCCCCCTCATCTGCGACATGAATAACTTCACCCCCATGACAATCTGGAGTCTGTTGGGTATCCCTCCACCCAACCCCTACCCCGTAGGTTCTGTACATCTCCATTGGTCGTAACCAGCTGATGATTCGTCAGAAAGGAACCCGAGT